TATATATATACACACACATACATATATATATATATACACATCTGCAATATTGCGTGGACATCGGGGGAAGTTCCCCTGGATTGGCAGACCGGGGTGGTGGTCCCCCTATTCAAAAGGGGGGACCGTAGTGTGTTCCAACTACAGGGGGATCACGCTCTTAAGCCTCCCTGGTAAGGTCTATTCGGGGGTTCTGGAGAGGAGGTTCCGTCGGATAGTCGAACCTCGGATTCAGGAGGAGCAGTGCGGTTTTCGTCCTGTTCGTGGAACACTGGACCAGCTCTACACTCTCAGCAGGGTCCTGGAGGGTGCGTGGGAGTTTGCCCAACCGGTCTACTTGTGCTTTGTGGACTTGGAGAAGGCGTTCGACCGCGTCCCTCGGGGAACCCTGTGGGGGGTACTCTGGGAGTATGGGGTACTGGGCCCTTTGATACGGGCTGTTAGGTCCCCAAAGTGCTTTACACTACAATCTGTGCCCTCATTTACCTCCACACACACATTCATACAGAACTCTACTAGAGCTCTACAAAGACTAATCAGTACTTTATCACATTCATACACTGATGAGACACACATTGGAGGCAATGAGGGGTTCAGTGTCTTGCACAAGGACACTTTAGCACGTGACTGCTGGTGAAAACGAACCCCCAACTCTTGCATTGGAGGACAACTGCTCTAACAACATATTTTTGGTAACATAAAAAAAATAAACGACCATCTTTCTGTGGCAGGTGCAAATAAATGGTGGTGACATACTTTTAAAAAATGCTGGTGCGTCAGTAATCGGGAAGTGACGGCCTGTACCTGCTCTTTGGTCGTGAGCGACGTCTTCCCGGGAAAAGTTTTGCTGCAGCCAATGGACTTGGGAAGCTGTCTGGGTTTTACCGCTTCAAACTCAATCCCTCGACACAAGTCATACAGCCACTGGCTGCAAAACAAAAACATTTTAAAGGTTTCATAAAGATTAAAGAAAAACATCTCGAGTTGATCACTTTGAGCACTGAAGGTCCTGACAGCAACATACGTACATGACCCAAAATGTCAAACAAACTGGAGAAAACTTAATGATGCGTATGAACCGTGGATTATTATGGGGTTAATAATTAATCAGATGCATGGCTGCACTTATTTAACCTGTTGCAGTAAATAACACAGAATTAAAACAGTACCTGAGAATGCTTCAGCTACATTGCCACTATTTCTTAGTAGCCAGTAAACATGTTCTCTCTTAAAATTGAACCAATTCAAAACATTGTAGTCACTATTCATGTTGCGAACACACAGAGTTGAAAAATAGAGCCTAGTCGCAAAACTATAATTATCCTCCATGCAGGAGTTTGCTCAGCTAGTCATCCTGTGTATTTTCTCACCCTGTTTTTTCTCCAAAGTGATGTCCCAGTTCAGCCTGAGAGAATCGAGTGAGGTCTCCCATGTTCTCTACTCCCAGAGCTTGTGTGATTGACACCCCCAGCTTACCTCCAAGGTTACGACTGCGCAGGAGAAATAAATCCTACATGACTATTACACTCCTCCATCAGGACATCACTGTAATTTGTGCAAGCTAAAATCTGCGAGGCAAAGTGACGTTAAACTCACATTTTGCTTATGGGCAGAGAGTTGAAAAGCTCAGCCACAGAGTCCAAAGGTAGAATGGTTTGTCTGTTAGGTTTGTTCAGACCACAGGCCAGTTTTGCCAACACCTTGAAAAGTACACAGTAAGGTTTTCAGCTCCAGCAGCAGATACTGTTCTTGCACCAAACGTATGTGAAAGTTCTTCCTACTTTATTGTGCGATATCCCTGCTGAGCAGCGGAAACCTGTGTGTTTCTCCACAGCCGCTCTCATTTCTTCAACAATGAGCGCTCCCACGGTGAGCTGCAGCTCTGCTGAACTCTGCTCCTCTAAAGAGGCAGGAAATGATGACAACCACTGCTGAAGACCTCTGAACCTCTTTTCCTCTGACACATAAAATATTGTTTTGTTAGATGAACCCTATCAGGTTTAGCAGCTGAAACACTTTAATAGTTGATTAGTGGAAGTTGGATATGAGCCTACCTTTATCCAAGACTGAATCTTCACATGAACTGGAATCATCTGGGGAGGATGGTTCCACTCTGCTGTGTGGATAACCCTGAATGTAGGTGGTTTTGAGCAAACTGGAATCTATCGGTTTGCCAGCCATGTTTTTCAGCCGCTGCTGGACTGTAGCTGTCAGATCCATGTAGGCCTCATCAATGCTGGCCCTCTCAATCACAGCGTAACGAGACATCACTTCAATCACCTCCACGCTTGCTTCTCTGTAACTGCAGAAAAGTTGAATGAGAGAACAATAAATGCATCATGATGATTCGCTATTAATCCAGCCAATAAAAAGTTGAATTTTAGGGTGGATATTAACTGCGCTTACACTGTCAGGTCTGCCTTGCCATGAGACTCGCGCACTCGGGCCACCTGGAGATCTGAGCACAGCTTCTTTGCATCGTCCACCATCATGTTCCTGGTGACACCGTGGGCCCTGGCCTCATAGCTCACAGCTATGATACTAAACGGAGGACGTTATTTTATCAAGAACAATTTCAACACGTGATTATCATGTGAAATAAACATGTCATCTGTATAAAGAAATGTGGTTTAAGTCTGAGTAGAGTAAGATACAAACAGAGAAAACAGTTCAAATGATCAGTCCATATTTTAAAAAAAGCTGAATGGATCCAAAGTGTGTTGGAGAAAAAAAAAAGTGTTTATGGTGTGAATTAAAAATATACACATACAGTACATGTAAAAAAAAAATTTGAATGTCCTGAAAAAGAACAATATTTTCTGAAAGTCAAACATTGATTGACCCAGATAATGAAAACCTAACAATGATGGAACTTCATAATAATAATCTAAATTTCTGAGACACTGAGTTTTGGGTTTTCATTCACTTGTAAGCCATAATCATCAAAATTACAAGAAATCAAGGCTTGCAATATATCCTACATTTTTGGAGATGTACCTGTAGGCACTCTTAGTTGTATTAGTTGGTTATATCATTGTGTGCACTGGTAAATGGGATGAAGATTTAAAACACAATTCAGCAGATTAACAAAATAAGGATGAACAAAAAAAATAATAATAATCTAAAACTAGACTAAGAAGTGAGGTGACACAAGGATGGTCCAAAACTCACTTTACATCACCATCACTTCATTATTTATGCAACTGAACATGCTTTTCCATGTGTAATAACTTGAGCTTGTATGATATTATTTGCTTGTCAGTTGTGTTTCATTGCACAGTTCTTATTAAACTACACGAAGCGAACTGAATGACAGCCATGGCCGATTAATAGTAAAAACAGAACTTCTGGTATTTCTAAGCTACCCAAAGACAGCTTTTATAGAATAAAAAATTAAACTGTTTCTCTGTGTGGGAAACTCACCCGCCTCCTTTCCACGTCTTGTACTGTGCCACCACACAGGGAGTGTTTTCCAGAGCGGGGTTTAGCCTCTGCTCCACCTGCACGTAAAAGCAGTCCATGTCCACTAACGCCACCACTCGTTCCCTCCCGTACGCCATCAAAAATATCTAAATAGTACGTTTCTTAAAAAGCAAATAATAAAATGAGCCCGCTGACTAACGCTAGGGACGTACTATACGTTTAGGTCAAAGAAAGCGCCCAAGTTTGTGCTCTGACGCTTAGTATTTCGCGCAAAAATTTCATGATCGCATAAAAACGTCATCATCAGTGGACAACAGTTTCTGTGGCGACAGGGTTAGCCCCCATTAAACGCCGGCGTATGTAGCGGTGCTCAGAGAAGGCGGGGTTTGCCTATAACAAATGCCTTTTCATAAGTGGGCAAAAGTGCCATTGGAAGTCAAAATGTGTTTTTAAATGTATGAATGGAATCAGTAAATGTTGTGAATAAAATCAGTAAATGTATGAATAAAATCAGTAAATGCTGTGAATAAAATCAGTAAATGTTGTAAATAAATCAGTAAATGCTGTGAATAAAATCAGTAAATGTATGAATAAAATCAGTAAATGCTGTGAATAAAATCAGTAAATGTTGTAAATAAATCAGTAAATGTTGTGAATAAAATCAGTAAATGTTGTAAATAAATCAGTAAATGTTGTGAATAAAATCAGTAAATGTTGTGAATAAAATCAGTAAATGTGTTAGATATGATACATTTCTGGCTGTGCCAACTAATGTTTCTCAGTTAGTTAGTTAGTTAGTTAGTTAGTTAGTTAGTTAGTTAGTTAGTTAGTTAATTAGTTAGTTAGTTAGTTAGTTAGTTGCTTGATTGGTTGGTCAATTAATTAGTTAATTAGATGGGTTTTTTGTTTGTTTTAATTATTTCTCAACTGACCATTTTACAGTTGCTTTTGCGCTTCTGAAAAATTGGATACCACATGCTCAAAAAGGTTCAGAGCTATTTTCTGTATTCAAGATTGGTGTTCAGCCTGTGTTTTAGTCCTGTACACCTGCTTTTATTGACTTTTATAATCAAATGTCAACAGTTATTTCCAAAAGAGGGAGGAACATAGTGACATAAGAGTGGAGGAATGACTGCACAGGTACTGTAGACTACATTCTGTGTAGAAGAGGAAACCTGAGGGAGATTGGGGACTGTAAGGTTGTGGCAGAGGAGAGCGTGGCCAGCCAGCATCAGATGGTTGTGTGTAGAATGTCTGTTGTGAAGTAGAGAGAAAAAGAGTAAAATAAGAGAAGAAGATCAAATGGAGGAAGCTGATGATGGGAGTTCAGAGAGGAGCTGTTAATGGCTCTGGGTGGTAAGAGAGAGCTTCCAGATGACTGGGCTACTACAGCAATGGTAATTAGACAGACTAGTAGGAAGGTACCCGTCCAGGGTGTACCCCGCCCCTCGCACAGTGATTGCTGGACATGGGCACCAGCGACCCCCGTGACCCAAAATGGAATAAACGGGTAAAGATAATGGATGAATGGATGGATGGATGGATAGTAGGAAGGTACTACTGTACTTGGTGTGTCATCTGGACGGAGAAAAGATGATAAGGAAACCTGGTGGTGGAATAGTGAAGTGCAGGAAGCTATTCAAAGAAAGAGGTTAGCTAGAAGACAATGAGAGGACTGAAGAGAGGAGACAGGAATATAAGGAGATGCAATGCAGAGCAAAGGGGGTGGTAGCCAGGGGTGAAAGTCAACCGGTGTTATGCCGAGAATTGCATGCCCTGTCGTGGGAACCCAATTGCCAAAAAAATGCATCTCTAGCTAACTTAGAGAAATAAAGAATAAAGAATGAAATAACCTGTTCTACATTATTGTATATGTCCTCTGAGCTAATGGTATGAGTTTAATATCAGTATGACAATATTTGGGGAAAATAGACAGAAGTTGCAGATATCAGCAGACTGTATTTGCTTTGCCAAAAAATACATCCCCTTGGATTAGACAGGTAAGGGTGATATCAAATTTTCTACATAATGATACATATGCCTTCCATCTGTGCTATCATGCTGTAATATAATTAACTTGCAGCTGCATGATAATAAAAAGCTTGCAGAATTGTTCATTATTTTTAAAGGTTACTCCCCACCTCCCCTAGTTTTAATATATTGTATAATTTATGTATTATGAGTTTTTAGAACTACTGATAACTGAAACATTGGACCGTTTTTATTTCAGTTAATCTTCCAAAAAAAAAACTTTTTTCAAGCACGTTCCCGCAACAGGGCATGCGTTTCTTGGCATAACAGTTTTATGGCAAGAAATGCATGCCTGATGTGTGTGTATATATATATATATATATATATTTTAAAGATTAACTGAAATAAAAACAGTCCAAAGTTTCAGTAATATTGTT